GGAGTTTCGCTCTGTCGCCCAGACTGGAGTGCAGTGGCCGCTCCCGGCCACCGCAGCCTCGACCTGCTGGGCTCCGGCGATCCTTCTGCCTCAGCCTTCCCAGTAGCCGGAATTATAGGCGCGCGCTACCACGCCCGGCTAATTTTTTGATTTATTGTAGAGATGAGGTCTCACCTGCCCAGGCGGTTCTCTTTTTTATTTTTTGAGTTGGAGTCTCACTCCGTCGCCCAAGCCGGAGTGCAGTGGCCACTCCCGGCCACCGCAGTCTCGATCTGCTGGGCTCCGGCGATCCTTCCGCCTCAGCCTTCCAAGTAGGTGGAACTACAGGCGCGCGCTACCATGCCCGGCTAATTTTTGATTTATTGTAGAGATGAGGTTTCCCCAAGTTGCCCAGGTGAATCTCGAACCCACGGGCTCAGGCAATCCACTCACTTCAGCTTACCAAAGCATGGGATTACAGGCTGAGCCACTGAGCCTGGCACTTAAGTTAGGACCTTTGGCTCGTCTCAAAAGCACTTGAAGTCTATGTAAGGCCAATGACAAACTCCTCAAATAATAGTGATAGCAGCCCATAATCATCCCTGTGGGCATGGCACTGAGTGAGAGCTCTTGGTAGGGTTTTCCATGGGACCAGTTTAGGGTTTCTCACCATCTCGGCACTGTTGACATTTTGGACCACATCATTTCTTTGTTGTGAGAAGTTCTTGTGTGCAAGATGATGTTTAGCAGAATCTCTGGTGTCTACCTAGAGCCCTTCCAGCTCTAACAATCAAAATATCCCCCAGAGAACAAGCTTGACCTGATTGAGAAATAATGAACTAAACTATTAAGGACACTGAACTAGGCATCTTATGTTGGAGGAATACATAAGCCAGAGAATGATCTCCAGAATCAGCATTCTAGAAATAAGCTCCTGGTCTGTATCAAATTTGCTTTCCTCAGACACAAGAGTATACAATGTATAATGTTTTTTATTTGAAGATCAAGAACAGGTAAGACTAAACTACAGTGATAGAAGTAAAAATATACTCTTCAGAGGAGGAGATTCTGAAGAGAAGGGCAAATGAGAGTACTTCGGGATGTTCATAATACTCTCTACCAGTCCTGTCCAATAGAACTTTCTACAGCAAAGGATACTGCACTATACAAGGTAGCCCTAGCCACATGAAGCCACAGAACACTTGAAATGTGGTTAGTGTGACTAAGGAACTAAATTTTTTATTTAATTTAAATAGTTACCTATGGGCAGCAACTACCAACTACATTGGACAATGTAGTTCTATGTAGATCTGGGTGGAGGTTTTATATATGTGGAAAAATCCAAAAAAAAAGGGTACACAAGATTTATTCACTTCACTTATATTATACTTCAACTTTTAAATTTTCTTTGTTTTACAATAACTGTAGTAAGATTCCAAAGTGCCTCTGTGGCGGTGCCTTATGAAACCAGGGGTCACAAGGGCAAACCTCTCTGAATCTGAATTAGGAGACCAGGCTCTATGGCAAAGCCTCAGTGAGTTCTGAGCAATCACACTGCGGCCCTCGACCTCAGTTTCTTCTAAATTTTCAATGAAGTTACATTTTTCCTCTTCCCACTCATTTTTCTTTTTTAAAGAGAAAATTTATTAAGTGTTGAATCTGCTATTTTGCCTAGTCTTTGCTCAAAGAAATAAACTAATTAGGACCACAATACTTGGCATGTGAAAAACACCTGATGAAAGCAAAGACTGCACAAATAACAGTAAGGTAATTAATTCTTTTACCAAGTTCTCTAGTAAGACTCCCTGTGGAGTTACTGACATGCTTTTAAGTTCCTCGAGGAATTAGTTCAGTTTCTGACCATTAAGCATGAAAGACATTTTTCAAGTTTCATATGGTATCTATGCCTCATTAGCAGAAAGAAGTATATGCCCTTACTGTCTTGCTGTCACCTCCAGAATGCAGAAAGGACATCAGACATTGAGTGACACCCGCATGTCCAACCCTGCATCAGCAGAGTATCTTCACCTGATCTAAAGGTGAACCTGCTAGCCTATAAATCTTTACCTTTGGTGTTAGCTAAAACCCACAAATTAGCAAAACTACTTTAATTCAAATGAACTAAATGTGAGATTTGGATTATAGCTTTCATGGGGTAAGTGCATGGGATTTCTTGGGAAGCACCTCCAAAAAAGGAGCTAGCCTGACAGTTCACAGGACCATAACATGCAAATCTTTTCTACACTAAAACTTCATTTCTTATCTGGAAAGGACATGAAGAAAGATGAAATATATTAAGCTTATTTCTGTCTTTTTTAATCTGAAAAAAAGACCTGCCAGACATAGAGTGAACCCTTAAATTAACCAACTTGGCTCTCTCTAATGAGAGAGAAAATACGTAAGAATCACATTCATTTCATTGAGCTAGTTCTTCAAATTCCCATCCCCTAAAGCTCAGTTTTGATTCAATTTGGTATTTAGTTAAAGCAATTGTTTACAATCCCATCAAAACTCCATGTTGGCAATTTTCTTCAACAATGCCAGTACCTTAGACACTTCTCGTATTTCAGAGGTTCTTAAGTCGAGATCATCCACAGCTCTCCTAATTTTTTTTTTGCAATACTGTATACTTACACATGTATTTTTAGGGGAAGCTTTCATCAGGTTCTTAGTGGTCCATGACCCTAAAAACTAGGACCCATTGGTCTGTTCCATTTTATAAACTTTTAAGACTTCTTTACCTAAGTGCTTGTCTAGACAAACTAAAAATGATCATTCCTCCACTAATCAGTAATTCCTCAAAATTTCACAGTGATTGGAATTAGTAACTCTCTTGACAGCCTATCCTCACTTTTCCCTGCAATAACTAGCCGAGGATAGAGAGGAAGGGTAGGTAGTCTCATACAAGGGGATGATGATAGATGGCAGAAAATAGATGCCCACAAATGCTTGTCATCCCTGTATGTGTGTCCCTCTATTATGTAACTTTAATGCTTTTCTCATCAAAAAGTGAAATCTACTTCCCTAAATCTTTGAATCTAGGCTTGGTCATGTGATTTACTTTAGCCAACAGGGTATTAGCAAACATGACAAAGCAGAGAGTTGAAAAATGCCTACACACTGAGGTTTACCCCTCCCTTGCTGTACAAATCAGTCCAGATTAATCCCCTGGAAGATGAGACCTCAGCTACACCAGATGCCTAAGATGACATCCTAGATATGTGGATGAGGCCATCTTGGACCATCTTGTACCATCAGGTTGACCCAGATCTAAAGCATTACCCAGCTAACTCAGAATTATGAGAAACAATAAGTCATTTTTAAAAAGTCATTAAGTTTAGGGTGATTTGCTATATTCACACTAAGTAGTAACTAAGAAGCAAAGAGAAAACACAAGAACCAAAAAGTCCAAATCTTTGGTAAAATGTCCCTGGTACCCCTTGACTTGGCCACCTTTTCATAAAGTTTCCATATGATGATCCTGAGATGGAGGCCCCAACGATAAGTTTTAAAGCTTCACTTAATTCTGAGAGTCAAAAAATATTCTGCTTGAGTTCTCTCAAAAACTTATGTAATGAGTAAGCCTGAAAAAATTCAGTTTATGAGTGACACTTACTTTAAGTAGTTCATACATATAAAACCGGATATCAAAGTCTGTCAGGATCTGGTAGAGTTGCTGAAACAGATTCCAGAAAACAAAGTTAATTTGGTCTCATTGCATCTTGTTATCTCAAGTGCAGGCCATTCTCTGTAAGCTTACTTAGGAATCCCACAACTTTGTACTACCTGATCTGGAACCAAAGGGGACAAAGACTAAAGCTCCATGCTTTTACCAATTACAATTATCATCCACAATTATGTTATTGTGAAGTCTAAGTTGCTAAGCTCTCTTTATATTCTTACTGCACATCAAATAAACCCCACTGCAGCCCTACAGTGTAATCTGGAGAAGTGAGTTCTGACTGGACAGCAGAGCTTTGATGAACTTTATTGGCTGATGTGGTAGAACAGTAGCAAGACAGGCTGTGAAAGAAACATGGGGAAAATAAGGTGCATTTGGAGCATTTGGAGATGGCAAGAGCTTTTCAAAAATCTATACTCTGCTTCCCTAAAACCAATTCCAGGCTAGAAAAAAAGAATTTCACAGGTAACAACTGATGGGGAAAGGGGAGGAAGAAGAAGAAAGAAGTAATGGAGTGAAATGCTAAAAAGTAAAAGACCAAAAATGATCACAAATCAAACAGAATAAATGAATGAAAACTTTCATTATTAATAACCCAAAGACTCAGCCACTGGGAATTTTTTAAAATTCCAATTTCTAGGAGCCATAATAACATTACTGCAACAAGGTTCATTAAAAGTATCATGAATCCTCGTCAGAAACTCTACTATTATTTTTTATATTCAATCAAACCCACATAAATCTCTTTCCCTATCAATTCAAGCAATACTTTCTACAAAATTGATCAACACATCTTTATTAAACCTCTCTTGTTCCTCGATTGGAAGACAGACTCAAGCAATATAGGGAATCTCTCTATGGAGCACAGAATGGTGCATACAATATGTCTATGTAAAGGGGGGAGGGGAATAAAACATCCACATTTTTATATCTGTAAAAAATGATATCTTTTATTAGAAACTAATAAAAAGTGGTTTCACATATATATGTGTAGAGGAATAGCAGGTGGAGTACAGGGGAATAAAGGAGACTTTTCATTGTATACCATCTTATATTTTGGATCCATGTTAAATTACATCACTGTTCAAAAAAATTTAAGAAAAGCATCAAATTTGCCAAGAATCAAACTGAACTAAGAACACAGGACTTCGCTTCTTTCTCAAGTTTCCCCCTTTAGGTAAGAGCAATTCTCCCTTCCGGCTTAGGAAAAATATTTGATATCATCAACCCCAGACAGCTGCTGGCTCAGGGCACTGCAGGGATCGAAAATGTGCAGGCCAGGACACGGTGCCATGGAGTTGCTCCAGCACTGGTGGCTGGCCTGGCTGCAACTGACCGCATTCAGGCAGAAGGGCACAAACAAGTCGCCACTTCTGCTCAGGAGAGCTTCAGCTACATAACAAGCACCCCAATTTTTTGTTCTCCCTGGCTCTGTGCTGTAAGGAAGGCTTCTCAGCCAGTACTTGGCTGCACATCGACAGCCTGAATGTACAGACAGAGGCTTAAGATACCATCTCTTGAGTGTCAAAGTAGCTCCTCCTCTGCCAGTTAAGGAGATCACTCTCAGTCTGTGCTAAATTGAACTTCAAGTCAATAAACAGCCCATGAAAGAGAAAAGATCACATTTTCTAACCCTTAGAGGGCTGGAATATTTTATTTTCAGAAAACCAGTATGGCTATTTTATTAGGACTTTTATCTGTGGAAGGCGTTCCTTTCATAATACGGTATCTATACCATGCATCTGTGTAAATAGTGTAAGATATAAAGTAAATGTCCTTGGACTCCCAAGACGGTATTTCTAGCTATTTCAACCAGTAGCAATTTAATAAAAAGACACCAGTTGCACATTAGTGTTCAGGCCTAATATAAGTCCTGAATGACTGTCTGCCATTTGTCCTCACTTCTCAGAACCTCTGGGTGGGAGGAGACCAAACTATATTTGTAACATTTAACCCCCTGGGCCTGAAATTCAGGACTCTCTAGTGTTCAGCCTGGCTTCCTCCAACTTCTGTAGCTTTGCTCTTCACTGCGGCCCCCAGAACTCCCTACTCTGACACAAGCAGCCTGAGTTTGCCACCTCCCTTCTTCCCTCTCCAGCATCCCTGACCCCAATCTGGAATATCCTGCCTGCCACTCCCCCACCCCACCTGTAGAGCCAATTGAAGAAACTGCAATCTCATCATCTGCTTTTTTTCTTTTTTTTTTTTTGAGTTGGAGTCTCACTCTGTCACCCAGACTGGAGTGCAATGGCCGCTCCTGGTCACCGCAGCCTCGACATGCTGGGCTCCGGCGATCCTTCTGCCTCAGCCTTCCAAGTAGCTGGAACTACAGGCACGCGCTACCACTCTTGGCTAATTTTTTGATTTATTGTAGAGATGAGGTCTCACCAAGTTGCCCAGGCAGGTCTCAAACCTGCGGGCTCAGGCAATTCACTCACTTCAGCCTCCCAAGGCACGGGATTGCAGGCTGAGCCACTGAGCCTGGTTCATCATTTGCCTTCTACAGAGCTAACAGTGGTCTCTCCCTCTGTTGAACCCTGTGCCATTTACTGGTCAACTGGGGTGTTCACTGGACACTGAGAACAGCAGCATCTCAGAGTTAACATTCCTCACTCAAGTACTGGCAGGGTCCTTAAGTTCTCAAGGTAATTCTTCACTTCTGCTGTATGCTCTGTGCACACCACAAGAGTTCTATATCAACATCCCCCGCATATCTTGGCACACACATGATGAGGAGAAATGGATATTGAGGCTGGTAGTGGTCACCAAATCTGGTGATTCAAGATGTCTGAACTCTCCCCATCCCCCCAGTAAGCCAAGGGTTCACTGAACAACTCAGTACCAACCCATCCCTTCCACACTGGACTCTCCAACCATATTCAAAGTCTTCAAGGAGCAGAAGGGCATATACTCTGTTAACTCCACACCACGTATGGTGGTTCTTCCCTGCCGAAGTGTTTTCATAATGCTCACCAGTCAATGGGACAAAATACAAACTGTCTTCCAAGGAAAAGAAGTACCAAGAGTCCATGACAAATTAGAAAGAGAAATTTCACAAGTACCAGATTTTCCCTCCATTCTTCTTAGCCAGCTACATGGAGAATATTGCTAAATGTTAAATGGAACAACATTAAATGGAAAATGTTGGCAAGAAGTCAGCTTTGCTTACATTTTCATAAAGTACGTGGCTTATGAAGAACGAGCCTATGCTTCCCAGAAGATCACAAACGTAGTGAGGAAGAAACTACTCATCAATCCCAATTTGGTTCCAAAGCCTCAAACACACTGCCATGCCCCTAAAATCAGTTTTACTACAGGACTACTCTAAAGGATCCAAGGTGGTGGAAATTTCCTAGACCTTTCAATTAACCCCCAAAAGTCTGAGAAACAGAATGGCAGAAACTGCAATTTCATCATCAGACTCAGGAACTCCTTGGCCTAAAACCAGACACCCAGAATGGAAAGGCCACAGGTGGGTGTCCCTCCTCTGCAGCCACACAGACTGAGCTGTTCAGACTACAGGTGCCGTTCAACTGCAGTATAATGAGCCTCAGATTCCAAGGCCCCACTCCCAACTCCTACCATTCAGGAGGATTTCACACTTTATAAAAAGGTTCCCAGATAGCTCTGGTCACCTGCCAGATGAGGGAATCACTAACACAGAAAACTCAGGCCACACATAGAGCCTGCACATTTCCTGATGTATACATACAGTTCAGTCTATGTCCATAAATCCCAGTAGTCCCCATGTAGAGAGATGGAAAAGTCGGGGGAGTGAGTATAAAGTGAACATGAAAGAGGTGTTTAATGCAGCAGTCATCAGTTCAGGAATTGTTAATGTGTAACCCCCAAGATCCAGAAAAAACAAGGTCAACATTTTTAGAAATGTAAAGTAGAATAAATCTTTAATCAAGCAAATCAAAGTTACTACAAATCACCTGAAAATGTCACTGATTTTCTTAAAGTCCTACAAGGGAATGACAAAATAACGTTAATAACCATTAATAACAGTACATTTTGTTTCCCCAATTAAGGAAACTGTATTTAGCCTGTGAACTCAAACTCTAGCAGAATTAACAAGGCCTCACAGTATTTGCTAAGTCAAGGCCTACCTCTTTGTGAGTGATTTACAAATTCTCCAAACATCAACACAATTCTACCATCTTCTTAGAATGGAGTCCATTTGGAGTGTATTATCAAAAAAATTTTTTGTACCTCAAAATGGTACCTTAGCTTCCCTTGAGACATTTTTGAGTATGTGAGTTTGCTACAACTGTTCATTCCAACTCTTAGTGATTGGCTTTTCCTATTAATCTGTTTTAAAGTTTTGTCTTTGTTCTAAGTATTTTTTATTATAGCTTTGGCATATACAGAGCATACCTGCTGACTTCAAGGAGAAAATGACCAAACCAATACCTCTACTATTAAAGCAAAATACAAGGAAATAAATTAAGGCCACAGAAAATCTGAACTAAATTAACAAGGTTGGTATAAAAACGACCATGTACTATAAAGCTACAAAGCAATCAACAACTTCAAATAATCAACATTATATAGATCACATTCTCTGTGGTACCAGTATCATGACTTGTGTAGGAAAATGTCCTAGTTTCAGTGCTAGCATATTTATAATTAAAGTATCATTATAATGTCTGCAACTTACTTTAAGATGATTCAGTGAAAAACAGAGATAGAAGGGGGGATGGGGACAGGGAGAGAAATAACTGCAAATGTGGTAAAATGTTAATAACTGGTAAATCTACGTGAAGGACATAAGGGTACTGACTGTGCTAATCTTTCCAATTTTCAGTAGGCTTAGACTTTTTTTCTTTTGAAAAATTTATTTATATATATATAAATAAATTTTATATATTTATTGAGTTGGAGTCTCACTCTGTTGCCCAGACTGGAGTGCAGTGGCCACTCCCGGCCACCGCAGCCTCGACCTGCTGGGCTCCGGCGATCCTTCTGCCTCAGCCTTCCAAGTAGCTGGAATTACAGGCACGCGCTATCACACCTGGCTGATTTTTTGATTTATTGTAGAGAGGAGGTCTTGCTGCCCAGGCAGGTCTCGAACCCGCGGGCTCAAATAATCCACTCACCTCAGTCTCCCAAAGGCACGGGATTACAGGCTGAGCCCCCGAGTCCGGCTATATTTTATTTTAGCGATGTGGGGAGAAATTTTATAAGTAAAAAGTTTGGGGAGAAAAATCCACAAGTTTGGAAACCCACACTTCTAATCTGAAAACTGTCTAGAAGCGGGATCTGCTAAAATGATGCTTGAGGCTGCTCAGACTTAAAGCACAAGTATTATCAATCAAGAAAAACAAAGTCAGATGAGTTGACTTCAGCTCAGGAAGTTGGGGGGGGAAACAGTGAAAACTGAGAAAGCTGAAGAAAAGTAATTGAGATGGGAGCAAAAACACAATGAAAGACAAAAACAACAGCTAAGCAATACACTCCACATCTGGTTCTTTTAAAAGATTAGTAAGAGATCTAACAGCAAGACTGATTTAATTTTTTTTGAGTAAAGGGCACAAATAATGTTTAAAAATGATTATTATTTTTTTTAGGTGACCAGTCAACAGCATAAAGTTTTTAAGTCCTACGAGAATTATTTATGCCAATAAAATTGAAAGTGAATACAATCTGTATTATCCAAAAAGACTCAAAAGAGACAGAAAACCTGGATAAACCTTTAACTCATAGTATGTTTTGAAAAGTAAAGTCTATTTCAAAGTCTTCCTCCCACTCCTGAAAGACACATACCCAGCCCAGATAATATCTATTTTTTTTTAAGTAAGGGTCTCATTCTGTCACCTAGGCTGGAGTGCAGTGGTATGATCACGGCTCACAGCAGTCTCGACATCCTGGGCTCTGGCAATCCTTCCACCCCAGCCTCCTGAGTAGCCAGGACTGCAGGCACATGCCACCATACCCAGTTAATTTTCTGATCTGTTACAGAGACAAGGTCTCACTATGTTGCCTACTAGGCTGGTCTTGTAATCCTGGGCTCAAGCAGTCCTCCTGCCTCAGTCTGCCAACGTGCTGGGATAACAGACGTGAACCACTGCATCCGACTGATAACATCTATCTTATACAAACTTTCAGAGACAAGGAGGAGGAAAAGCTACCCAATGTATTTATACTGCATAGCTCTGATACCAAATTCAGAGAAGGACCTTACAATAAAATGAAACTGCAGATCAATATACATCAACCAACCACCAATATAAAATACTGGAAAAAAATGGGCTGCAGGCTGCACCACTGTTGATTTACCCTGATATTAAGCCAGGGACAAACTCTCTGAATGATTCCTTAAAACCAGTTATTAACAAACTTTACACTAAAATAAAAACAAACTTTCCCAGTAAGATGGACACAGGACAAAACCAACTCATTTTGTTTGTGGCCTGCTGTACTATCCAGAATAGAAGATAATTAATTTTCCTACTGTGATTTGCTCTTCCAAAACACATACCTGCTATCTGGTATTTAGTGATCTCTTAACTAAAATGTCATGGTTTGAACATTCAAAGGGGACCTCCAGTTAAACATGGCACATCAAACACCTCTGTTTCTACCTGAAGCTCCTCTAAAATAACAATAAAAGGACAGGGAGCAGGGGGATTAACTCCCAAGAACCAACAGAACGGGGGAGACAGCTTTGAAACTAGAAAGCATGTCCAATTGACTTAGTAGACCAAATATGCTGAATATTCTAGGAATAGTCAAGGGATCCAGAAGTAAATAGCTTCAAACTAAATAACTATGGAAAGGCTCAGGATTGGTGATCCCAGATAATGCTGAAACAAAGTAAACAGAGTATGCAGATAAAAGCAAAAATGGGTTTAAAACACCACACTGAAAACAAGAGAAAATTAAGTGAAGTCTGCACAACATTCCCCATAGCCCTCCTCAACTTGAGACTGCTTAAGATGCCGCAGCCAAGCTTGCATCCTTGAGACAGGAGCTGACGGCTCTTCAGAACATCACTCTAAAATATGAGCAGACATTTTCAAGAACGATGACATTTTAGACAGAGACAAATAACGAAAAAACACACACACAAAAGAATCTGAAAGAAAAATAGAGAAAAGGTATGAAGAAGAAAAATATAATATTCTCAGTGAGAAAATAGAAGGTATTACATAAAACATAAAAGAACAGGACAACTATTTTAAAAAGTTCCAAGACCAAAACGGATTTCTAAGATGTGAAGTCTAACATTTGGATGAGTTCTAGAAAGTGAGAACAAAGAAGAAAGAGGAGAAAATCAAAGAACATTAAAAATATTTTTCCAAAATGAGAGAAAAAGCCCAGCAAGTATGCAGAACAAAAGATGAAAGGGACCCGGATAAAGGCACATCATTGTGAAATTTTAGAAGACTAGGAATGGGAAATCCTGAGAGCTTCCAGAGGAAAAAAACAAAAACTAAGATGAAAATGGAATGGCTTCAGTGATAATACTGGAATAATCTCTTCAAAATTGAGGAAATTATAAATTGTAACTTACAGTTCCATACCCTAACAAATACATTAATTGGGAGGACAAAATAAAAATGTTTTTAGATATGCAAGTCTCAAAAAACCATGCATGTCCCATGATCTCATTTAAAAAGCTACTGGAGTATATGAAACATCCCCTTTGAGGGTTAAGACCCTAGAAAGGATTTCTCTTCAGCATGTTACTCAATCAACAGAGCAGATGTCTTTTTAAGGAACACAAAATGCTGCAATGAAATTTTATGTGTGAGGATAGACAATTAGTAAAAATTCATTAATGAGGCACAGGCATTTAAGGAATTGCACTCTGAAGTTCCATTAAGATCAACTTTTAAACTTTTGCATTAATGAAAGCCTGTCTAGTACTCTAAGACACACACACACACCTTCCCACTCATGTGTATCATGACAAACCTGGGTGAGTCATACAATCAGTTACATAGATCAGCACAGTACCCTGCTAGCTAAGCACTGTTATGCTACTGAACAGGAAAATTTACCTCTCACTTTTTATAGTCACCCGTTACATATGGGAAACACTATACTGTATATAATACTTGCTTCTTATTGTCTTGTAAGTCAAAATATTCTCTTTTGCTTACTTTCATGAATTGACTTTGTTTTAGAATTTTAGATTAAAAAAATTAAACATGAGAATAAGGTTATTTCGCCTTCACCCAAAAGCATCACTCCTGATACCAGCATCTTTCAACTGCTGCTTTAGTTTTCTTTCTAGCTTCTGTCACAACAAAATCACAAGTATCTTATTCACTGACAGAGTTATAATCAACAAAAAGTCCTCCGAATGCCCCTGAAAAATCAACACCACTATTTTGCTTTTATGTTGGGTCTCACATTATGGTCTTAAAAAGAGTTTCTCCCATGTCTAATATGCCTAGCCCCAAAACCTTATCAGACGTTATAGTTTTAATGTTCAAGCAATACAAATTAATTCATTAAAAAACAGTTTAAAATCATGCTTTTAAAAGAACACTTGAAAGTCTAAAATAATTTACATTATGAAAAACAAACAAACAAACAAACAAGAAACCCAGGACAGGGCTCTTCTAAAACAGTGACTCTTACTAGTTTTTCTGTACAATGTCTTTGTATATAATGTGCATGAACACATGCTCATTTGACAGCTTAAAATGTATTGTTTCTTTTCACAGGAGCCCTGTCATCAGTTTATCCTCTCCTTTCAGCAATGTAAAATTTCTTAGGAAAATCAAAGTTAACATCCACAAAGAGCTATGCTATCTGAAACAGGAGTGTTATAGATGTTTCTGTAGAGTAAGCAAGGCAAAGAGTGATGAATAACCTCACCAAATGCAAGAACCCTAACAACTTTCTGCATCGTGTACTCATGCTATAAGGAATCCAGTTTGTTATCTGCTATTCTCACCTATGACATCTCTGGGCCCTTATGCTCTAGAGTCAAAAGTACTTATCACCACCTCCCCATCCCTCATTAACCCCATGCCAGAAAGAAAAAGTATACGCACCTTAAAATCTGTATTATTGATATATTCAAATACCAAAGCTGGTGTCTTTGACTGCAAAAGAGAATATTAACGCTTTTAAAATTCCCAAACAATAATCAATGTTAATTTGCTTCTGCTACAATGGTCCAGCCCCAAATTTCACTTAGATGAAAAAGCGATTCACTTATCAAGGACAACCTGTGTAGAAGGAATCCTCTTGAAAGTATATGATGTCTGGAATCTGCTTCAAAATAAGCAGGGGATAGTGGGAAGTGGTGGGAGTGCAGATGAAACAAGGTTGGCCACAGCAAATTAAACACTCAAGTTGGGTGACATGTGCAGGGAGGTTCATTATATTACTCACTTTATTTTTGTAAATGGCTGACATTTTTCATAATACAAAGCTTTAAAAAGAATAAATTTGCTGAATAACCTACCAAAGGGTCTTAGCCAACTTTCAATGGTTATGTGAAGATTTACACATTGCAGTGTTCTGGCTTGCCAACTACAAAAGGAGTGACACATTTTCATCTTGGTTTAGCAAGCCAGGCACATTTATCATAGGCCTTGGGAATCTATCAGAGGTCTTTACAGGGTCCAAAAGGAAAATATAATCATCTATGAAATTATCAATATACTACACTGTGAAATTCCTGCCTGGGCTGGAGACCATTAAGAATGTCTTACCTTAAAAAGCAGATAATCTCCCAAAATCATATATAATCAAATATTTCTAAAGTACTATAACCTTTAGTGCAATGAGTACAAAATGTTCAATATTACCTTGTATAAACCTAGATTTTCAAATGTGAGGTTCATGTACGTGAAGTAATATAATGCTAATTGGTAATAGTAACTTCAAAATTGGGAGAAAGCAGGAGCTGAAAGGGCTATAGAAAGGAAAAAAAGTGCATCTTGGAAAACTTGTTCAAGAACCAGGTGAAAGTTACCTAGGAAACAGGTCACAGTGCATGCACGCAGGTCTTTGTCAGGACAACTCAAAGCTCACACTGCAAATGATTCTTCACTACTCCCAATTTCCAAGGGTTTCATCAAGACTATCAGATCTCTTCAGACTATGGAGTAAGTTTGATCCTCTAAAACTCAGAGCAAGGGCTCACTGTTGATTTTCATCAATGTCAGTTTACTTGTCTTACATATTATGCAAAACACTTCAAGTAACAAAATTACAAAAACAAGACAGGTATCACTAAGTTCTGTTAATTAAAACAAAAAAATAAAATGAAGATACTCAGGGTATACTACACACTGGTTCATACTTTTCAAATCCTTCTGAAATTCTTTTTTTTTTGAGTTGAGGTCTCACTCTATCTCCCAGGTTGGAGTGCAGTGGCACAATCTTAGCTCACAGTAGCCTTTACCTCCCAGGCTCTGGTGATCCTTTCCACCTCAGCCTCCTGAATAGCTGGGACTACAGGCATGTACCACCATGCCCGGCTAATTTATTTTTATTATTATGGAACGAGGTCTTGCTATGTTACCTAGGCTGGTCTAGAACTTCTGCGCTCTCAAGCCATTCTCTTGCCTTGGCTTCCCAAAGTGCTGGGATTACAGGTGTGAGCCACTGAGCCTCACCTAAAATTCCTATTTTTACATGTTACTTTTTTTTTTTTTAATGGCAACACTCATTTTTAATGTAGGCCTTTTTCAAACATTTGGCAGTCTGGCTAGTCATTATAAAATCAATCTGTGCTAATCAGGATCAGGCTGAGATATATTTTTAACACCAACCATCTCTTCTCAGTCTTTTCAGGGTCCAAAAAGAAAAACTTTCCTTATTCTTCAGTTCAACAGCACTGTGTAATCATGAACAAATTATTTAACCTCTGCATACTGAATTTTTACACCTGCACAATGCAGACAGTAATGGTATCCAACCCACTGGATTGTTGAGGACTAAATGACACGACACAGTTAAACCAGATAGTAAGCACTCAACGCATGTTAACTACTGTATTATTATCATACAAGGATGTCTTTGAACAAAAAACTATCACAGGAAAAAAATAGAGAAATGTTTGTGGTAGAGCAGGTGGAGAACAGAAATGGGAAAGGAGAAGAGATATAAAACTGGGGAAGTGGGGAGTCTTTAACTTAGTTAATACAACACTTAAGGTAAAATTATTCCCCAGGGAGAAGAAACAAAATCAAATAGCTTATCTAAAATGGCTAAATATTAAGCACTAACAAAAATATTTTAGTCATATCTACATATACAATGGGAGGTCTAATGGTGGATGCTGAATTAAAGACTAATGTGAGAAAAAGCAGAATTCTTCCACCAGGGATCAGTGGGGATGGGATTTGCTCAGTTCTCAATGCTAGGCATCTATGTGAAGACATTCATTATTTCCTTGCATAAATCCAGATTTTCAAATGTCACCCTTACTTAAACAACGTTCAGTTACACAAATTGGCAGTTACAAGCTTTCAAAACTGGAGAAAAGCAGTGGCTTTAAGAAGATATTCACATGACATTTGTAGGTTGAGTAAAAATAATGAGGTGCAAACCCAGGACAGGGATTTTTCCCAGTACATTTTTAGGTTCCATAAAAGTATGGTGACTATTTTATGACTAGGCCACATGATTTTTTTCCCTGATTTTCAAAACCTTTCAGTTGTTAAGATAGACACCATCATCCCCACTGTACCATTACTTGAGGTTCTGCGTGTTAAACACCCCCCATCCGCACCCCAGTCTACAAGTACACTCTCCCACCACCAGGCACCTACCACAGGGTCCTTTACAGTGTCAATCAGCTTAATGATATTTGTTCCACCACGAAGGTTCTCCAGAATCTTAACCTCTCGTTTTATCTTCTTTTTCTTCACTGGCTTAAATATATAAGAGTAATCAGAAGTAAGACTCCTTTTGAAGTTAATATAATAAAACTTTAAAACAATGTTAGTCAATCAAATGGAGAGTATATTATCTTGCACACTGTGTTATGTTAAAGTGCATGCCTAAATTAGAGAGAAAAAACTGAAATAAAATGGGCTTGCCCGTAAGAACCTTTCACACATCAAGTTAAATAATTTACAGAATCATACAGCTTATGTGTCAAGATCTTTAAGTAGTTACAATCAGGGCACTTAAAAATTTGAGCACCCCATCACACTTTAAAAATAAAACGACTGCTTACTAGATAACTGCTAAATGGAAAATGTTATAGCTCTGAACAGCTGTATATCATACACTCACAAATGGAAAAACTGAAACAAAATGGCGAGACACCTGCTCTTCCAATGAGCTACATGTAATGCTGTCTTCCAGGAATGAAGGCCAGTTCAGTGACATCAAGTTACAAACTTGTTTCCCAGCTGCTGGCTCCCATTTCCTGTTGCCACTCCCATTTCCTTAATATCTAGAATCTTAAATCTGCACAGAGCCAGTAATGCTTTCCAACAGATCCTACTCCTAAAGAAAGAGATGTTCTTTAGGAAGGAAGAAAATCAATCTCTGATACAGTAGTGACTGAAAACTTCTATCAGTTAACTGTTCAATCTGCTGGAGAGAAAGATTAAAGACATTCCTCAGAAACACTCACTTTACACATATTACTTATTGTCTTAAATGGGCTAGAGTTTGAAGAACAGAAGCAGTTCTGAAAACGCAAGCCTATCACAAATCAAGTATGCTTTATATAAGGCACTCAGAACCATGACTGGCACATAGCACCCAATAAATGTTAGCTTTATTATTTTCAAAGTTTTAGTAACTTGTTATTTAGGTCATATTTAATCTTTACAAAACCTCTATGTAGTAGACTCAGCAAAGTTGAGCTATTTGCCCAAAGTCACACAGCTAATAGCGGACTGGGACAGGAATCACAGGGCGATCTGACTCTACATGCTGTAGTCTTAGCCACTGTGCTTTTGTTTCACAAGTTTGACTAACAGGAGAAATGTAACTAAGGTACAGGAGTATTTCATAACTGAGACACTATTATAACAGCACAGGCAAAGATAGGCCCAGTGGACATGCCATGAAACAATACAACAAGATTTTAAGAGCTTGTGTGTGTGGTGGGGGGAGGGGAGAGACAGCACATACACACATGCCAGAAAAACCTTCATCTTTTGTTGTCACTAAGATACGGCTTTGAACACATAACAAAACAGAGAGGGAAAACAGCACCTGCATCACCTATAATAGGGTGCTCAACTGACAGACTGGACTCTAGCTATGTCCTTGTGAGCCAGTTGCCACAATATGCCCATTCTCCACTTTGTCAGGGTTCTCAGTAAGCAGATCTGGCTGATGCGCTGGTTCCCCATCCCCACATAGAAACCTTATTCCTTGGTCCCTTTTTAATAATTAGAGCTAAAAATATTGGGAAAATGAAACACTGTACAACCCCATCAAAAAACAGCCAGGGAAGGATATACTACAAAATAACTAGCCTATAAGCTTTATGACAATGTCATGAAACAAACTGAGCAACTGTTCCAGATTTTTAAAATGTGACAACTGAATGTAACACGTGATTATAACTGAATGTAATCAAATCATGTGATCTAGGATGTTCTTTTGCTATAAAGAACATTCTAAGGATAACTGGCAAATGTGAATGACGGCTATAGATTAGCTAACAGCACTGCATCAATGCTAATCTCTGATTTTCGAACACAGTACTGTAGGGTTACATAAGAAACTGTATTTTTAGGAACAACATCCTAAAGTATTTAGGGATGACTGCAATGTACTCTCAAGCACTCAAAAAAAATTAAAAAATATATAATTATATAGATGTATATATGTACACACACATTTAAATACATGTGTGTATATATACATAAGAAAGAAGGATAAAGTAAATGTTAACATTTGAGGAATCTGGGTGAAAGATACATGGGAATTGTTGTAACTTTTCTGTAAGTATGAAATTGTCAAAAAGTTAAAAGAAAAATAAGAGTTGGCTATCTTGTATATAAGTTCAGCCAATGCTACAAGTCTATTCAATGCTTTTCAACAAAAGGAAATTCTAGAATTGTCATTCAGTATTGGAAAGCTGCTATAGATCTGTGGGAGTGGTAACAGAGAGAGAGAGAACAACAACAACAACAAACTTCATAGCCAGAAGCCCACAGACACCAAAAAATCTTTTCTACTTCTAACTCCTTACAGGGGTAATCCATTAGATAAGTTGCTTCGATGATGATGTTGGACATAAAGTATTGCATTCTTCTCCCGTTATTTAACAACAGGTCAGATAGGAACATTCCTGGACAACCCAGTTAAGATTAAGCTATCTTGGCTGGGTTCAGTGGCTCAGCCTGTAATTCCTGCACTTTGGGAGATTGAGGCGAGTGGAGTGCCTGAGCCCACTGGTGTGTGATCAGCCCTGGCAACTTGGTGAGACATCGTCTCTACAATAAAATAAAATAAAAAATTAGCTGGACATGGTAGCGTGTGCTTGTAGTTCCGGCTACTTGGAAGGCTGAGGCGGAAGGATCGCCGGAGCACAGCAGGTTGATGCTGGGGTGGCCATGAGTGTGCCACTGCACTCCAGCATGAATGACAGAGTGAGACTTCAACTCAAAAAAAAAAAAAGATTAAGGTATCTTTCAACACATCCAAAAGAATCCTACATAGCAATTGAAGCATATTTTGCTGCCCATTTCCTGTCCAACAACTTCCCAAATGAGAGACTGGGAATAGCAAGGCAGTTTGGAAGTGGCACAATGAGGTTTCATAGCAGCTAGAGTCCTCATAAACTGACAAAAGACCCAGAGATGATAGACAAAGAACAGTGACCTACAGTCCAGGATGCTGCCCTCCAAAGCATCAAGAACCAGCTCCTTTCAGCCTCAGTTTATTTCTCTGAACCAGAGAGGTGCTCCAGAAATGAAACCACCAATGAACTCTAAGGAAGTGAGATGATTTTAATGCTACAAATGGAAGCGGAGAGAAAAAGCTAGGATTTATAAGGGAGGATTGCTGACGTCCTAAGGAAAAAAAAAGGATTAAGGATGCTTTGGCTCTCCTGTCCAGAGTTTGCAGTCATTCACCACCAGTTACACAAAATGGAGAAAATTCACACATTTCCACAATAATCTCATAATTTCACCCTGCATGCTAGAAAAAGCATTCCATCTGAGGTTCACTTATTCCAATTCAGAGAATATCTATTTAAAAGATTCAAACTGACTCAGCTATTCTCTAGATCAAAAACAAAAAACAAAACCAAAAATCCCCCCCTAAAAGTCCAGTAAACAAAAGAAGCAAAAAAGTTAAAGAATTAAAGTGTTTTTTTTGTTTTTTTTTTGAGTTGGAGCATCACTCCTTTGCCCAGGCACGCATGCTCACAGCCACTCCAGTGTCAACCTTCTGGGCTTCAGTGATCCTTCTGCTTCAGCCTTCTGAGTAGCCGAACTACAGACATGCACCACCACGCCCAGCTATTTTTTATTTTATTTTATTGTAGAGACAAGGTCTCTCCAAGTTGCCCAGGCAGGTCTTGAACCTGCGGGCTCGAGCAATGCACTCACCTTGGCCTCTCAAAGTGCTGGGACTACCGGCTGAGTCACTGAGCCCGGCCAAGAATTAAAGTATTAAATCAAGTTTTAATAATAAATTTTGGCAAGCACCTAATGAGATATTTAAGGGGAAGAAAACCCCACTTAAATTTTTCTGTGAGTTTTTTCATTTTTTAGAACTCATGAAGACAAAGCAAAAAAAAAAATTTTTCTTTTCAGAAGGTTTCTGCCTATGTGTTGATCAGTTCTAGCTATTCAACTATTTCTCTTGTGTTGATCAGTTCAAAGTAATCCACAAGTAAGGTTCCTTTTCTCTTTCCCAATTTACCAATATCTATAAATTTCAAAACAAAAAACAAATTTAGTGACAGGCTATTTAGAAAGACGAAAGTTGATAAAATCAGAAATCTGTTCTATTTACTCAGAGCTGCTTTAAAAAAAAAAACAGATTTGAAATTATTTCAACTACTTGCATGTAATTGTGATTAAACTTGCAACTTCTATCTACCATAAGAATTATGACCATAATAAATTCCAGCAAATATTAACAGGCAAAGCACAAAGGAACTGATAAATCCAAAACAGGCAGAAATACTGCTCATAATTTTCAAATTTTAGGTTACTCTTAGTCTATTATCAAACCAACAATAATTATCCCACTAAGATAATAATTTCATCACCTGCAATGAACAACTACAATAAACAATGGTTACCAGGAATGTAAAAGGATAGGTAAGGAAGCAAGTTCAGCCTGGATAAAGGTATACTCTTTTTTTTTTTTTTTTTTAAAGAAAGGATTTATTGAGAGAACCAAAAAGCTCTCACAGTGGGAGGGGACCCAAAGGGGTTGCCCAATAATGGTATACATTTTATTACCTTGGTAGCATCTTTAAAATACATTCCACCTGAACTAAATATATATATTATCTGAGCAATGTTATTTCTGTATACCAACTTTTTCTGTAATCTTTAAGTCTCATCATCCCAATTACATTATCAACTCCTTGAGGGTAACTGTTTATTCTCAGGATTTAAAAAGGTAAGGCATAAAATCAAAATGACAATCAGATACCGTCTTACACACATTAGAATAGCTACCATTAAAAAAAAAGAAAAGAAACAGAAAATAACAAGTGTTGATAAGGATATGGAGAAATAGTAACCATTGTACAATGTAGTGGAAATGTAAAATGGTATAGCCATTGTGGAAAGTTCCTTAAAAAAAACAGAATTACCTTATGATCCAGCAACTCTGCTTCTGGATATATATCCAAAAGAAGTGGAGCAGCATCTCAAAGAGATATTTGTACACCCATGTTTAAAACAGCAATATTCACAATAGCTAAAACATAGAA